AGGGTTGAACCAGCACAGCTGGGGAACCGCCACAGTCACCACAACAGGCCCCATTTTGATATCTTTTGCAACTAAAATAGTCAACACTCTCAAAAGTTAAGTTAAAACTCGAATGTGAGTTATCATGGCCAATTTTTCATAGGAAGTTGAAACTTTCACAGTGTTCTCTGTGGAACAACGCATCTACAATTTACAATTCCCATCTACGTATTTACAATTCTAGAGAAAACATACTAGCTATGGAACACTAGACAGTGGTGGAAAGGGTTGAGTGACTTGATTAAAAGTACAAGGAATTTTCAATCACTTTTTTACATGTGTACTTCTACATAACTGTTGTTCCTCTTTCGGCTGCTCCCGTTAGGGGTCGCCACAGCAGATCATTGGTCCACATATTTAATTTGGCCCAGTTTTTACACCAGATGTCCTTCCTGATGCAACCCTTCCCAGTTTTATCCAGGCTTGGAACCAGCACTGGGAGTGCACTGTCGTGTGCCACTGGGGGTTGGTTCCCTGGCGAGGAATCGAACGCTGGCCACGGCAGTGAGTGCGCTGTGGCCTAACCCCTAGTCCTCCAGGAACCCTTTTCTACAATTGACACAACTAATCTAAAAAAAATTTCATATATGAGAAACGCATTTTTTAACAGTTATGTTAACTAATAGTAACATTAGCTGGCTAGCTAACTTAGCCAAATGCTGTTGGGGTTTCAATAGTTTGATAATAGGTTCCTTAGCTAGCTATTTAGCTCATGTTTCCAGCTACATACTTAGCTATTTAGCTTGCTATGTAGTGTTATATATAGGCTGGAGCAGCACTTGGATATATTTAACACAACAGGCAATTGCTACTGAACATCAAAGTTTAATACAGAGCTTCCATATTTTAAAAGCTCAAAAGATCTGGCTTGCTAGTCTAGCTCACTCAGCTAGCTAATGGCTTACCTTTACATGTTTCCACAGGTTGAATGTTCACGTGTGAAATGATGATCATTATCATTACAAATCATTATCATGCTGTTTAAAACTTACCTGATCAGTTGGGCCAGTGATGCTCCAATTCAATTCAATTCAATTCAATTCAGTTTTATTTGTATAGCGCTTTTAACAATGGACATTGTCACAAAGCAGCTTTACAGAAATAAATGGATTCACAAAAATATATTGTAAATATTTGAATTTATCACTGTGAATTTATCCCTAATGAGCAAGCCAGTGGCGATGGTGGCAAGGAAAAACTCCCTGAGATGATATGAGGAAGAAACCCTGAGAGGAACCAGGCTCAAAAGGGAACCCATCCTCATCTGGGTGCAACGGATAGTGCGATTATAAATAAATCCCTTCTATTATTGTGTACTATAAGGACAAATAGTGCAATTGTGCAACCAATAAATTCATCACAGTTTTCGCAAGAAATCCAGTTGGTTAAAATCTATCCACTGTCCACTGATGGAATCCTGAGTACGAAGCTGCTCGTGGCAACCGCAGCCCCAAAGCCACTACAGCAATCGCAGTCCCAAGCCATTACAGTACAGCTCCCCATATGTGATCCCCAAGCCATCTCCACAGCCCCCAGGTGGCACCATCCCCAGCAAACCAAATGGTTCTTCAGACCGTCCATATGGGGCCACCCCCAGCAGCAGCTAGCGAACTCAACCGATGAGAACTCCAACCAGAAGTAGGGCATCAGGATGGGTCAAGCAGCGAGGAGGAGCAGAAGGGGCATCAGGATGGCTCAGGCAGCGAGGAGGAGCAGAAGGGGTCAGGATCACTGGCCTCTCAGAAGTAGCATGTGTAGCTCGACAGAGAGTGAGGGAGAGAGAGAGATGGAGAGAGAGGAAGAGATTATTAGGTAAGCTTTTGTCCTCTAATGGTTAAGCACAATGTACTTTGCATGCAGAGTGCAAGCAGGGACTCCGGCAAGAATAGCTATGACAGCATAACTAAAAGGGAGAGCCAGAAGGTAACACAGACATGAGGGAGTCCTGGGACATAAAGCAGCCAGCCACTCCACCGTCGACAAACCTGAGTGAACGTGAGAGAGTGGGGGGGGGTGACAGCATCCAAACATCCCAGTTCACCACAACACTCTATGCCTGTGAACCCTCCAGACCTGCCCCTGTACCTAAGAAAAAACTATTCACAAAAGGCTTGACTAAACAAATATGTTTTCAGCCTAGACTTAAACACTGAGACTGTGTCTGAGCCCCGAACACTAATTGGAAGGCTGTTCCATAACTGTGGGGCTTTGTAAGAGAAAGCTCTACCCCCAGCTGTAGCCCGCACTATTCGAGGTACCAACAAATAGCCTGCACCTTTGCTCCAGTGTCTCAGACATTGCTGCAGCTTTACCAGGGCAGCTTCATGCATGAATGCACTATCTGTGTGGTTATTCAGTCTGTCCTGTATATCTGCTTGATAGCTCTATACTTGTTTTACTGAAACTTTTTTTTACACACAGGTCCACCCCTAAACCCTGTATTTTGTGCTTGCTGTACTCAGGTCCTGGAGGCTGTACACAGTATGTTGTCTTTGTTTACATATGTGAGTGGGCTCATTTTGCTAGAGGTATAATTTGGATGATCTCACTTTCTTGAAGCCTTTGTAATGTGGATGTGTGGTGTGGTCAGGCCAGCTCTAGCAAACCACATCCTTAATTAAAAAAAGCAC